CTTTGAGGGGCTCAGCCAGACCCAAGCGGAACTGGTGACGCAGGGCGGCATCATTCCAATTAGTATCCCCACTCCATCGTCTAAAGTCTGTGACGTAGTCTTCTGCCGCTCGGCGACCTTGTTGGAGCGCATGTAATGCTGCTTCAGCTGTAGTGGTCCATTGTGGGTCATCATATAGTTGAACCATTGCGTCAAAGAGAGTGGTCATAGTGTTCAGATGTGGGTGATGACTTTCTAACAGACGATGGGCCCAAGTTTGTGGTTCACCTTGAAGCAGGGAAATAATGAACCCCACTTTGACAGTCTCTGTAGAGAAGGTTCTTGGCTGGAGATTGAAGTAGAGTTGACATGCGTTTGCGGAACGCTCTAAACTTGCCTCGGTCTCCATTGAACCCGGCCGTGGCTGGAGTAGCAGGATCCACAGATGCAGGAGCAGGTGCAGGTGTAGCCAGGGTTTGCACGCGTTCCTCCCAGGTGCGCATATCCATCCTGCAGAGTCTTAACTGCTTGAGTGAGTGCTGCCAGGTGATGACATATCTCATCCAGGGGTGAGGGTCCTCTTGCAGGCTCAGACATGGCCATATGGTACTGTCACGTACCTGGATAGTGAGCCTGACGTGAAGAGGCAGACCTCCCATACTACTGCGGCTCGAGGACCGCTGATGATGAGACAGCAGTCACAGGAGCACGGTGGAGTGCCTGAGATCAGTCCGATAACAGCTGGAGGGCTGATGAGTAGCAGCCAGCCAGAGCAGGTGCAGGTGTATCCGTGCGGGATGGATGGATGCCGGAGCACCGTGTGCTGAGGATGCAGGGTCAGACGAGCCGGGTTCAGTATTGGTGAGGCAGATCAGGCTTATAGCGGCATGAGGAAGAGTAGTCGGGTCACAGGCCAGGTTCAGTAACATTAGAAGAATTAGATAGGAGCAGGCAGAAGAATAATCCGAGGACAAGCCAGAGGTCAGGGCAGGAGGCAATCAAGCAGAAGTCAGGAACAGACTGGTTTGGCAACAGGAATCAATCACGGAAGTCAGGAAACACGAGCAGGGGGAAAAGACCATACGGCAATGCGATAACCACAGAAGACAGTTTAAATAGCCCTCTTGGCACCAGCATTAATGACAGGCGCGCGCCCACATGCGCTCGCGCAAGTGCGCGCACCTCTGCCCAAGCGCCTGCACATCTGCTCGGCTTGCAAGGACCCTGCGCATGCGCATATTTGTGCACCGTGAAGCTTTACCTGTGCTATGGGCAGGCCTTTCCTGAAAGGTGGACTGACAACTCATGGGGCCCCCGGGCAATAGAAAATCATGGGGCCCCTGTATCCTCGCCCACACTCAAACCACACCTAAAAAAGCCTATGAAAGGTACCAGGGGCATCTCATGGGGCCCCCTACTGACCTCGGGCCCTCGGGCGGTGCCTGAATGCCTAAATGGTCAGTCTGCCCCTGGGAAAGAAAGAAAGTCTCAGCCACATGTCCTTTCCATGCTGCTAGACCCCGAGCCAGAAGGGACTATTGTGCAACTATGATCAAATAGTTTAACTGCAACTCCTGAGCATATATCTAAATCCCTGTGACAAAGTATCTCTGTCCTGTCCTTGTTATTATTAAACATAAACAGTTACAGATAGCCAGGTCTGTGCTGTATGTGTAATAGTCACCTTCCAATATAACAATAGTTGAACCTGCTTTTTGCAGTACAGTTTATATTTTGCTATAGTTAGACTCAGTTCCTGTTATTTTAGTTAACTCTTTCCCTTTTGCTCTGGGATTTTATAGCTAGATTTAGCTCAGGGCTCAATAACCAACAAAGGCTAGAGCCAGGTTATACTTCCGGTGGCCACATCAGGATCATAGGCTTAGAGGTCCAGTCACATGTCAGATTAGAATACAAAAGAATCAACAGTGCAACCCCATAGTGCAGCATTAAAATAAACACCAATTTATTGAAAAATAGGAATGCACTTACAAAAGTATGCATTTGAAGGCTGATAAAGAAGTTGTCCGGCTTTGAAAGACATCAGGGGAGGATTTACTAAAGCTGGTTCACTCAGAGTCTGGTGCAGCTGTGCATGGTAGCCAATCAGCTTCTAACTTTAGCTTGTTCAATTAAGCTTTGGCAATAAAACCTGGAAGCTGATTGGTTTTTATGTAGAAGTGAACCTGATTTTGCACTCTCCAGCTTTAGTAAGTTAACCCCCAAGTCTCTACAGCGCATGTGTCTACAGTGACATTTGGGATTCCAGTCCTGGGTTGAGCACTTTGAGCACTGATTGTAGCTGCAGCGATAGCGGCTTCCTCCATCTTCAGCACACTTCACCCCCAGCCGGTGGTCAAGGCTGATTGTTTTCTGACTGCCCTTAAGAAATGTTTGGTTCCCAAGTCATCTTTGTGCCATACCCTACACATGTATACTTTTTGTGAGTGCATTTCTATTTTTCAGTAAATTGTCGCTTATTTTTTAATGCTGTGCTATGGGGTTGTGCTGTTGTTTCTTTTGTTTTCTTCCAGTGGTTGGAAAGTGAGGGCCTTTTTTGGTCTCGTAGCTGCAGCTCCTACTTTTAGCTATGTTTAGCACTCTGGGCTATGCTACGTAAATGTTTTAACACTGTTGGTAAATATTGTTAGTATTGTCATTCAACAATCATTATTTTCCACAATTTTCATCTCTTATTTTGTATTTGGCACTTTTAGTTTTTTATCCATTTTGTACTATTCATTAATTTAGTAGATTTATTACAATTACCATCCATGTTATGTCTGGTTTATCAGACCACTCCTGAGCACTGTAGATTGTCTGGGATTGACAAGCTCATTCATTCACATATTTATTGCATGTCATATTAGATACTATTATGGAAGGACTAACATGCAGAGTAGATATGTTGATTTTGAGTTATAACACCACAGTTCCAGTGCCACACCACAGTCCTTGCCAATGAGATGGTCCATTCCAGGCTGGACAATGATTAGAGGGTCTTCCCATGGCCGTAAATGTTGTTTTCGGGTCTCTGACACAAATACAGATTCCACATAATCCTCAGGGGCCCTTGCAACTGGATTTTGCCTTAAAATGTATCTGGAGGTATCTCTAATAATAACTACATATACCCAAGTATATGTGCACAATTCCACTATAACTCCTATTGGTCCATTTTGCTGATAATACTTGTTTGTACATTGGATGTATGTACTGTTATTAATCCTTTCTTTTATAAAACGTATACTATTTATTTCGCTTTGTTTTATAAGGGAAAGTTAAAGAGGTACACATACAATACAAAGCAGATGATTTACTAAAATTAGCTGATTTACTAATACTGGAGAGTACAAAATCTGGTGATGCTGTGCATGGTATCCAATCAGTTTCTAACTTCAGCTTGTTTAATTAAGCTTTGGCAAAAAAAAAAACCTGAAAGCTGATTGGTTTCTTTGTAGAGTTGCACCACATTTTGCACTCTCCAGTATTAGTAAATCAACTTCACGGAATGTCAGAGAAAATGAAGTGTGGGATTTATATATTTTTTTTTTTCCAGAAATGGAAAATGAGAAACACTACCCAGTGCATTACTCTCTCACCTGCTTAGAAGGATAATGACATGGTAATCAGACTACCCAGAGAGAATATGAGCAGAACACAAAAAAATTCAACCTCAATGGCAAATTAATGAAAATGCAAAGTAAAATCATGAGAAGATCTACAGGAGATAAACCACATAAGAACGTGCCCTCATCGTGAGATTAGATAGAGATTATTTAGGTAGAAATAGCCTGTCCTGAAAAAGGGAGGAGCATGTCGTATCAACTGTTGGGGAAAATGTAAAACCTGTATTATTTCTAAACCTTATTCAATCAGTGCAACACACCCTGAAACAATACAATAGTGTTCTAAATAGTTGCTGCTGAAACACTGTTAGTGACTTCACAACACCTTTACTAAAATAAATAACAAAATATAGTGTAGCGCAACAAACAAATATCTCTTATAACAACAATGTGTATAAAATAAATCTTCTCTCTTCTTCAGTACCCAACCCTGCCACCAACATTAGGTGAAAAACCTGCTCACTTCACTTTATGACCTCATCAATAGGTCATTATTCACTCAACATATGGACACACTTGGGTACGCCCTCTGTGGTCGTCCTCCAGCTCCTCTCCCGGTACCGCCACAGTATACACTCCTCGAGCTGACACTCTCATATAATATGTATTATGGAAAACAGAACAGTGGAACCATAGTGCTTTCTATTTATAAAATGATGTATTAGCGCCAGATTAAAAACACAAGATGTAAGAAACAAGCCAACATATAATATATATATTTCATTAAATGGTTTACCACCCCACTCTTGCGGATGGTCATCAATTTAAAATAGTCTAGGGCTCAGCTCCTTTCACCTATGCAAGTTACGTCCCAGATTCCTCAGTAGAGAGAGAGTAAAGTGGAGCCCTTAAATAACCCATGTATCCCCTTCTCCCTACCCCCAGAAATTACAACACTTCCTGGCTACTGACGTGATGTCATCTGCCATCTTGGATCAACTCTGAACCTGGAAGTGATGTCGGCCATCTTGGAATACCTCCAGACCCAGAAGTGATTTCTTTGGCCATCTTGGGATCACACTAAAAAATGAAAAATTATGAAAAATATATAAAAAATATAAAGAATGATAAAAAATAATATAAAAAAATACATATTACTCTGATGACCAGCACTTCGACTGTCGTATTATCATATCTCCAGACAATATATTACATTGTAAAAAGCAGACTATTAATAAAAGGACAATTCATTAAAAAAATGAGTTAATTAGTCAAAATATGTCAAAATATGACTGTATTATTTCTATACTGGTGTGCATCTATATACACATGATTAATCCTATATGCTGGGTCCAGTAGTTCTTCTGTTCCAAATTGCCTTGTTTAAATTACTGAGTAATTTTCTAGGAAGGGAATCCCCTTTCTTACCCGAGGCCCTGTCCTGCATGAAGAATGAAGGAACTTCAAGCTTTAATATTAAACGTTTCCCACCCGGCCAATAGTAGAATGACGGCCGAGTGGGACTCTCATCGATCTGAGTGGGCATCATATGATGTCCTTCCCGGATTGCGCCTTGCGCATGCCCACAAGGCCATGTTGTGGCAAGATCTGTCACCGGCTGTGTAACTCAGACACTGCCGATTAAACATTTTTGTACCGGCCCGTTGCCAGTACCATGTGACCACTCACAGCAGGTCATATGACAATTGTAAACAATGGATGGCTTTCTTTCATGCCATCCATTGCATACAATTGTGTCACTAGTGGTGATTGGTCACAGTGATCACATGTACAGACTGGGCCAATCACAGCCCATCTATGTCATGTGATTAGCCGTGGACAATCACAGCTAATCACAACAAAAAAACCTGAATGAATCATTCAGTTAAATGCTTGCTTATAGCAAAAAAATTATTTGCTATAAACAATCATAATGTGTAAAAAAAATACTGATCACGTCTTAAAAGTAGTACAATGTTACTACTCTGGTCACAGTGTATTATGAAAAAAAAATCTTAAAAAAAAGGAAAAAAGTAATATAAAAAATAATTTAAAAAACATAAAAAAAATAAAAAAAAAAATATTATTATTCTTTTTTTGACTGTCACCAGTAAGTGTCCTTGATCACCGCCACACCAGTTATATGATGACATTGTACTGCACTAGTGACAGTATGTTAACCACTTGCCTCCAGGGCACTTATACCCCCTTCCTGCCCAGGCCAATTGCCAGCTTTCAGTGCTGTTGCACTTTGAATGACAATTGCGAGGTCATGCAACACTGTACCCATATGAAATTTTTATCATCTTTTTCTGACAGATAGAGCTTTATTTTGGTGGTATTTAATCACCTCTGGGTTTTTTATTTTTTCTTAAACAAACCAAAAACCACAGAAAATTAAAAAAAAAAGTTTTTTCTTAGTTTTTGTTATAAAATTTTGTAAATAAGTGATTTTCTCCTTCACTGATGTGCTCTAATGAGGCTGCACTGATGGGCACTGATAGGCTGCGCTGATGGACACTGATAGGTGGCACTGATGGGCACTGATGAGGAGGCACTGGTAGGTGGCACTGATGTAGATTGACAGGCATCCCCAATGGGCACTAAAAGGCAGCACTCATATATGGCACTGATAGACAGCACTGCTAGGTGGCACTGTTAGGCAGCACTGACTGGCACTGATAGGCTGCACTGACTGGCACTGTTAGGTTGCACTGACTGGCACTGTTAGGCGGCACTGATAGGCAGCACTGATGCACACTGATAGGCGGCACTGACAGGCGGCACTGACTGGCACTGATAGGTGGCACTGATTGACAGCACTGATAGGTGGCATTTACTGGCACTGATGGGTGACACTGAAAGGCAGCTCAGATGGACACTGATATGTGGCATTCATGTGGCACTGATGGGCACTGAAATGTGGCACTGGTGAGCACTGGCAGGTGGCATGGATGAGCACTGAGAGCTGGCACTGATGGACACTGACAGGTGGCACTGTTGGGGCTACACATATCATCAGGGCACACTGATCATCAGTGCTCTGATGATCTGTGTACATGTCCCCTTCGAGCAATGCAGATTACCGGCTCTCCTCTCCTCACGAGCTGTCAGCGTGACAGCTCATGGGGAGAGAAATGCCGATAACTGGCATTTCCCTGTTTACATGTGATCAGCTGTGATTGGACACAGCTGATCACATGACCGAGCCAACATCTTCGGCTCTTTCCGTTGATCGGTGATCCGCTGTGTCCGAACACAGCTGATCACGTGATGTGGTAAAAGTGCCACCCACCTGTGCCCACCCACCTGTGTCCAGCAGTGCCACCCACCTGTGCCCACCCACCAGTGCTGCCCACCAGTGCCACCCACCAGTGCAGCCCAGCAGTGCTGCCAGTCAGTGCCACCAGTCAGTGCCCAGGGGTTGTGCCAGTCAGTGCCGCCAGTCAGTGCCCAGCAGTGATGCCAGTCAGTGCCGTCTATCAGTACCCATCATCAGTGTCACCTATCAGTGCCGCCTATCAGTGCTGCATATTAGTGCCACCTATCCGTGACACCTCATTAGTGCTGTCTATCAGTGCCGCCTATCCGTGCCACCTCATTAGTGCTGCCTATCAGTGCCCTTTAGTGCTGCCTATCAGTGCCCATCAGTGCCGCCTATCAGTGCCCATCAGTGCTGCCTCATCAACGCACATCAGTGAAGGAGAAAAAATACCTGTTTGAAAAATTTTATAATAGAAACAAAGAAACTTTTTTTTTTTTTCAAATTTTTTGCACTTTTTTTATTTATAGCGCAAAAAGTAAAGCGCCCAGTGGCGATTAAATACCACCAAAAGAAATCTCTATTTGTGAGGAAAAAAAATGATCAAAATTTCATATGGGTACAATGTTGCATGACCGCGCGCAATTGTCAATCAAAGTGCGGCAGCGCTGAAAGCTGAAAATTGGCCTGGTAAATAAAGGGGGTATAAGTGCCTGGTAGGCAAGTGGTTAAACTAGCTCTCCTATGTGTCTTATTAAGGTAACACATTAGACCTCTTGTAGCATCATGCTCATGTAAAATGAATACCTCAGCCCTAATTAAATAAATTCTCTACTTACATGGCTTGCAAAAAAAGATTTCCCTGGAATTTTTTTTAAATGTCGGCAACTACATATCACAGTTTTCTAATGTATGTGCATATGTTATTTATTGCATTAAAATGTATTTCTTCATTATATACATTTACATATACATACAGTATAGCGTAGTAAATGAGGTAAAGCTTCACTTTGCAAAGATAACCCAATCACGTTCAAGAAAAATAAAAAAAAAAAGCATTTTTGCTTGCACATTATTTTGCTTCTGCTCATTTAGTAAGCTCTAGAGCAACTGCTCTTGCAAAGTGCAACTACACTTTGTAAAGTGCACACTCTATTTGCCTGTAGTAAATCAACCCCAAAGTGTTGCCTAACTGGGCAATCACCAATCCCCTGCACTTTCATGTAGAGCTTTCTCTGACCTGTCCAAATTTTAAATTTCTGAGTAAATTGAGTGGCAGATCCCAGTGGTGCAGGATTATAGCAAAGATATAGTAGGTGCCTACTATTTAGTGGCAGGGTTTAGTGTGTTCCTATATTTTACTACAGGTTCACTATTATTCAGCAGTGAAAATACAGTAACTTCAGCCAAATTTCAGTTTCCTGTAATAAGATCAATTGAGGGATGAATTCTGATTAGTCCTCATGGGTTAGTACATTTTGTACATCTGTGATTTGCAATCTTATTAGATCACCCTGATAGTGTTTATATACATGTATACTAAACAGATAAATTAGTATAGTAACATAAAAGACATAAAACAATCAAAAGGTGCTTTAGAAAGTTGAACCAGGGAGGTAGAGACTGCAAATCACGATGAGCAAGCAATTTAAAAAAAGCATGCCATCTGCAAGTGAGAGAATCTTATCTGAGGCTAACAAAATGCCAAGGGCAGGGGACAATTAAAAAGTCATGTTTAATGGGAAGACAGGACATAAAGGGGAGTTAATAAAACATGAGCTAGTCTGAGATGAGTATTTCAGTCACCCCCTGTGGGAAATGTGGAGTCGGAGTCATCTCTTTAAATATATATACATCTTACCCTCTGCAATTTATTCACTAGAGGTGACAGCCCCCGAATGTAACACTTTAATGGCTACTTGGACTGTTATATTTTTACAAAGTCTTGCATTTATGAGCTGACTGAAGAATTTATGCATTCGTATTATTATTATAATTATTAAGCACCCTCACATTACACAGTTTGAAAAAAAAGAACACTGTATGACACTCTTAAGTGTTTACTATATAATTATACATAAATGTCATTTTCAAAATGTGTTCATATATTCTTTTCTAATTGTTATATGTTAAAATATTTGACATTGTCTCTAATAAATAATATTGAAATTAACAGAAAAGCTCAACAACTAAATTTTATGGACTTTTGGACTGAAGTGTATTAGAGTGAATAACTAATGTAGTGCCAGGTACCTTATTGCACAAAGGAAGTTTCGAGCCTAGACAACTAATAAATGACAATGATAGATTTCTTTGTTCTGATGTACTAGTGCTAGAACCATATGGAAGATTACAGTCAGCAACAAGTTATAAAAAAAAATAGGTTGACATAGGGGAATTCCTTATTGAATCAGTTTTTTGCTCGTTTCAATCATCAAAATAAGGATATTACTGTTAAGTTCCCTACACCACCTGGGGATATACCTCTTGAAGTCTCTGTTCAAGATGTGTGTTTGGGTTTGTTAAGGGTTAATGGGCAGAAATCTGCAAGGCCAGATAACATCTCAGGGATTGTTGTAAAGAGAAGCCATTCAATTGGCAAATGTCCTTGCAGACATCTTTGATGTTTCTTTAGAGCAGGGTGTGGTGCATTCTTGCTTGAGATCATCAATAATTGTTCCAGTCCCAAAGAAGTCCAGTATTGACTGCTTTAAAGTGTTACTAAACCCAGGACCCTGCATTCACTATATCTGGTCTCCCCTAGTACACAGAACATAGAAATGCAATTACTGTAGTAAAAATAAGCTGCTAAATACCTTTTCTCATCAGCAATATATAATAGTCGTGTGACTTATATCGGTGTCCAGTTGAGTACTGCTTAAAGCTAGTAGGAGTTTTCATTTTGCTCTGACTGTCCTATGAGGCTGCATAACCACTGACCCTCTATCTGGACAGTGCTGATTGGCCCTCTATGATGATCGCATGCACCCTCCCAAGGAAAAAAAACTCTCTAGTAATACAGTACACACCAAACTGAGCATGTGTACAATACTCCTAGAGCTCTGCACTATCAGGAGATGTACTGGGGATATTAGAAGAATAGGAGGATCAGAGAATACATGATCAAACAGATTTTTTACACAATGCAGAGGATTAACCCCTTAGGTTCCATAGTGAGTATAACAAGCATGCTTTACTGCATATACAGACTGATTTTACTGTTGTGGGTTTAGTAACACTTTACCAATTATCACCCTGTTGCCCTGACACCCATTGTAATGAAGTGCTTTGAGAAATGAATCTTAAATCATATTAAACAGCAAATTCCCCCAGGGTTAGAATGTAGGCAGATACAGTCTATTTTCTCCACTGCTCAATCGCAGCGGCATTGAAGAGGGAGAGGAAGTCAAGAGGAACATACTCCTCTATGGTTTCCTGGGTCACTGGGGAAGTGATCCGGTTGGGTGCAGGTAAAGGTTCCATTTGGGCACAGACTATGTGACCCTGGTGGCCATCTTTGGGCAGGTAAAGGTTCCATTTGGGCACAGACTAGCCAGGCTGCATTCTGCCCTCTGTGCTGTTGGCACATGTGAGACCTACTCCTTTACACATTGCTGTGAAATCTGTGAGTGTTACCAGTTGGGGGCCTCCCTGCTGGGCTGTTTATATTATTGAACTTTTCTTTCAATACAAGTTTTATTTACTACAACTGGACTCTGTGTAATCACTGCCGCTGCACAACACTGCACATCCCATCAAGATAGCTACCAGTTTGCTTTTAGGGAAAATACTGTAGAACTATGGAGGATGCCATTGTAATGGCCTTGCATTCTGTGTTGTCTCATTTGGAAAATAAGAATAGTTACGCCTCCATGCTCTTTATCGATTTTGGTTCAGTGTTTAATTCAGTTTTGCCAATGAAACTTGCTGCTAAGCTGAACTCTTTGGGATTGAGCCCAATGCTTTGTAATTGGATTTCCTAGCCACTAGGCAGCAGAAGGTAAAAGTTGATGTTTGGTACTCATCATTACACTCAACACTGTCCCTTTGTACAAGGGTGCCACAGGGATGTTTGCTAAGCCCTTTTTTATTTACTTTATACACTTGTGATTGTGTTTCTCACTTCGATGTGAACTCTGTATTAAAATGTGCAGACAACACCTTGATAGTGTGGAAAATAAGGGGCGGCAACAAGTCTGCACATCAACAGGATATTGAAAATCTAGTTGGTTGGTGCAGAGGGAACAACTTTCAGTTAAATGCAGCAAAGACAAAGGAGATTATTATTGTTTTTAGGAAAGTACAGGAAGTTTGCTATGAGCTGGTGGTGATTAATGGGTTGGAGGTTGAGAGGGTAGAGGAGTTCCACTTCCTGAGAACCATAGTTAGGGAGAATATGTAATGAAGAGGACATTTATCTCTGCTGGTGGGCAAGGCTCAACAGAGACTGTATTTTTTTGAGGAAGCTATGGAGGGCAGGCTGTGAAGCTTCTATAAAGCTGCAATTGAAAGTGTGTTAACGTTTCACATTTCTCTGTGGCAAGGATCATGCACGGACCATGGCATAAATGCCTTCCAGAGGGTAATAAAAACAGCACAGAAGATTATTGCAGTAGTTTGTTTTCCTGGTATTGAGAAATTGGGGGAGAGGAGGTGTCTTCAGAGAGTGATTAATATATTAGAAAATACTTTACATCTTGGTAATGCTCTGTATACATTGCTACCTTCTGGTAGGTAGTATAGACGTATTTGCTCTCATACCACTAGGTGGTGGAAGTGAATTAACGCTCATGCGCTAAATGCGCTTAGTATTAACGTGTTTATATGCATCGATTGTTTTTCCTGCCAACATGCCACTGCTCCTGGACACGCTGGTAGTGGAGTTTTTTTCTGCCTCTAAATGCCCCTACCTCTAAACTCTTCTAAATACCTTTGTGTGCATTGAAACATAGGCTAATATGTAGGGCTAAAATGCCAGACACCCGTAAGAGCAATGTTCAAAAAAATTCCAGTGTGCATGTTGCTTTATAATGCCTAGAACCCAGCTTTAAATATTATAATACCTCTGGCCTATGTTACTGATTTGTTGATTTATGAGGCAGCTTTTAACCAGCAGTAAGTTTTGGACCCATTTTTTGGTAATTTTGGGATCAGTCTACAGGAAATAGAAAAACTTGATAGCCAATAAAAGGTTGTGTGGTCGATTTTTCACAAGGCTGTTTATAGTAGATGTTTATATCTGGTGGTATGTGAAAAATGACGCTGCAAAAATATTCACTTAGCTGCAACAGCCTTTTAACTAACAGTGATTTACTTAGCCCAGTAAACACAGTCTCTCTAA